TAGTAGGTTAGACGGAACACTTTCTTAGAAATCGTTAGGATATGAGACGTCCAAGTAAGGTCGGAAGATTGTACTAGACTGAGGTATTTTGCATTAGACTTAGTTTCAATTTTAGTCCCCTCAATGCTACAGGCTTCATGAGTACTTACTAGTGTTTGTAGATCTCGTTTATGCCTAAAGGAGAAGTCCGTAGTCTGGTATTTTGAGGGATTCAGCATGAGGCCATTTATCAGAAGAATGAGACAAACTGTTCAGCTAAGAGGCTGTTTTCATTTTATCATTTGTGATAATAACTATGACGTCAAGCAGTTGTTCTTGGTATTTAACAACTGCTATTTAACAATAAAATTCACCGTTAAAATGGAGAACATAGGCTAGATTCCCTTTCTTGATATGAAAAAGCCGATAGGAAATAAAAAAAGTCTGTTCATAGGAAACTCACATGGAACAGCCAGCTGACAAATTTCAACAGTATAGTGCCTGCTGAAAGGAGACAAAGTTTAATCGAATCATTTGCCGCTCACATCCTGTGCATCTGTAGCCCTGACGCCGCTATAGAAGAAGAGGTATATCCTGTGGAAGAAATAATCTAAAACGGATACACACTAGGGTGCATCGACCACAATATCAAACCGAAAGTTCAGAGAAATAAGCAGCTACTTGTTCCAGGAAAGAAACTCTATACGAACTTGGATTGCAAAGGCAGACTTAACCTACAGTATTCCTAAGAGAAGAATTTCAGCATCTTTGAGAAAAACATCGTTTGCACCAAAGTTAACAGTAGTGTTCTTCAATTAAACATTGATCTGCAGCGGCCTGAATGATAAGATATCGGATTTGACCAGTCCTATGTGTAAATACGAGTTCTCCTGTTACTGTGGAGCCAGGTATATTGGTCGTTGGACACATATCTCGCGCGGTCAAAGAAAGGCAGCATTGGCTCTATGAGCAGTGATAATAGAGAACACCTTGTCAACACTGGTTATTCTGTCTCAGCAAACTCATCCTTCAAAATAATCCGCAGTGTAGAAAACAACCTGCTAATGACAATACGCTTTTGTCTCCTCTGCACTGCTGAATCTATAGACATTCAGAGACAGAGAAACTGTAACTCTGTATACAAAAGCAAGTTACTCAGTCAATTCTACTATCAAGGTGACAACCTTGTTTTTGTTTCCCACCGCGTGCATTTCAGATTGTGAGGGCGATTGTTACTTCCCAGCTGCCCACACCGTAGAAGTTGGTTGCGTGACCGTAGAGCCCAGGGGAGGACTGCTTGAGTCCGGTCACACACGGCCTGTTTTTGTTTGTTCCTTTTTATTTGATGTGTCTCAGTAGCATATTTATCACTTCTGCCCTGTGACACGGCAGCAGGAAGCGCGGTCGTTGTTAATCCGGGCCCCGACCGATCCGGCATGATATTTCGTGAATTTGTTTGAGTCATAGCATTGGATTGGGTAACTGCTTTTTGAAAACAAAACACGTAGATCAGCGAAGAGTCTCTGTTCGGTGAATTCATTTTCTTAGCTGTTCAATCCCAAATATATGTGTGGGTTATTTTGTATGTATGTGTACAATAAGTTCATCAAACAAAAATACAATCGGTTATAGTTATAGCAATATGGTTTCGTCTTCTTTGTATCGCTGAAGCTCTGGCCATTCACATAGAAAAACCGGAGCTGTGCATAAAAAAGAGGATTACTCAACCACTTCTGCTGTCTTGGTAACAACTTTTTTGATTTGATTTTTTTTATTTTGATGACTTAATTTTGTTTCTTTGCCTTTTCCTTTAATTGCTTATAATTCTTGTATTCATTTAGAATTCTTACATAATTTCGTATTATCTACTTTGTTCCCTTGTGCATCCTGAGTAAAACTCACTCATCAAACTATTCATATTATTACATAACTTCTTTTAGGAACTGTTTGTAACAAATCATCACCTTTGTTACTACCCTAATTTCACTAACACCTAATTTTCTTGACTGATTTTTTATTACGTAACTCCAATTACCAGTCTTCACCTGTTTAGTTTAAATAACTATAACCAATTGTATTTTTGTTTGATAAACTTAATGTACACATACATACAAAATAACCCACATATATATTTGCGGTTGGGCAGCTAAGAAAGTGAATTCGCCGCCGAAAAGAGACTCTTCGGTGATCTAAGTGTTTTTTTTTCATTAATGCCTGGATGGGCATTACACATGAATTGTAACTGCTTTTTGTCTAACCACTATCCAAACAACCTTCCTGGTATGGTAGGACCTCAAGTGACATAAGTAACAGCCAGTATAGCTTGTTGGGTGATTGTGGTGTAGAAGCCTGACCACCACGTCAAGGTAACAGTTTTCGGTTTCCCCAGCGAGCTGATCTTTGTTTGTTCGTTTTTCAACTCCCAATAACTCTTGTATATTTTTTTCATAACATTTTACTCTATCGTTTCTGTGTGTATCCAATATTACAACTCATTCATCAAAAAATTATTCATCTTATAACGTAACTCTAACACCCTTGTATGCAACTCCTCCTCTTATTATTCATTGACTAATACTCACAACTATAATTATGATAACTCATTACTTTTATTGCTATTCTCTTTCATTAAAATAAAAAAAACAGTTAATAAATGTGATTGTACAGCCCAAAAATTGAATTCGCTGGAAAGAGTTTCTTCTTCGCCAAAAAATAACTAATCAACAAAATCAAGTTAGATAGCCAAAGGAAATCAAAGAAACAGTCAGTAACAGTACAACCCTCCAACCCCCCTAAAGACAACTGATTACGGTCAGGCTCACTATAGTGAGTGACTGTTATGCCATTCATTGTCTCCATGGACAGTATGTTGAAAAGGCTAAAGATGAATACCAAAAATAGACGCTTTTCAGTGCACTTCACATGTATATATATATATATTTATATGTATATATTTATTATTTTTTTCGGTACATTCTGAGCATTCATTTTTCTTGTTTTGTTTTTTGGTTTTTTCTCAAATATCCCTCTTTTCAATTTGTTTCTTTGCATTTTGTTCAACTTTTCAGTCAACCTGAGGATTGTTGTAAAATAGATATTCAGCCTAAAATATTTTAAAAAGAAAATTGAAATTTTCGATAAAACCTTTACGATCAAGTTTGATCACGGACTAGCATATAAGTTAGAGAACCGTTGGAACCTTTACGGACTATGCACTATGGACCGCTGTTTCGATCATCATCATCTTCTTAGACACCCTTCAACGGTACGCACTCATGACCTAATTTCTAGCGGCTGTCGGTGGCATTTTAAGTCGCGAATTAACACAGGTTAGAAATCATGGGACGCACGTTAGATTCTATCTCAGGCTGACTTTATAACCTGAAGGTTCAGTGTCCGACCCCCCCAAAGGCGAGGTCACAAGTGCATACTGATGAATAGTTGCAAATTAGGACGAAACTGCTGTCCAGTACATCGTGGTTTTTATGTTAATTTTAATGGTAGTGCTGGCTGGCTGGATTCAACATAGAACTTGGCATCGAAGTGCAGCAGTTCGAGTTGCCACGTTCCAAATAGCACACAAAGGTAAAAAAGAAAATGAGTGAAGAGAATCTATAGAGTTTTGACAGGTATAAGAGTGAAACAGAATGAGTAATGGTAGAAAGGAATATGAGACTGAATATTACAGAGACTGAATACATCTGTGTAAGCCATTGACAACGATTTTGAGCCATGTCGCCTATTGTTGTCTCCAGCCTTCATTGATTCTTAGAGTCCTGAGGGCGGGCCCCAACCCGGAAGTCTACATCTCCCTACCTGACTCATTAATGGTAGTAAACTGTTATTCCACTGATTGAATGTTTTTAGAACTCATTTGTCCCTCAGAACAGATTCGCCATGTACGAGTCCTTTTGAGACACACACCTCTTTTATGTGTGAATGATCGTGACGATACTAACATCTAGCTAGTTGTTTCCAGGCTGAATTAAACAAAGAGCAATTCAAACCCAGGATCCATTATTGGCTAAAAGTTTTGGAGTATCTCAGACAATCAGCCACATTATCCCTTATCTCACTCAATTATCTGAATGGTACAACACTGAGAATAAGCAAAGCCTTTTGATTCCTTTTTGTTCATGTTTAATTTGAGATTGAAATACAAAGTACACAGTTCCAGGTGTGTTATAAATAATATTCATATCACAATATTTATATGTGTCAGCAGCAAATTATGAATGCGATTCTAAATATGACTATTTCACTCAATTAGCGAGCCAGAACTCATTTTGTTTGAATTGATTCGGCCATCTGAGTGAGTTGGGTCAACTTGGCTGCACCGTTTATGAGGTCAACTTCGAATAAAGTGAAACGGTCCTTAAATCTTAAACTTCACTGAGCTGTTTAGCAAGCACTGAGTTTGTGGTTTCTAACCGCATACATCAGTCGACTAGTATTGTATGCCGTCATAAAATTAGTAATTTTTGTAGTGTCGGTTTTCAGGGATTTAACTGACTTCACGTTGTATCACGAAGTGACTTCAGTCGGACAGCTACTGAAAACCATGGTTTGCACTTGACAACTGTCTCGTCATAGTTCGGAACTGTGCATCAGTACGCACCTATGATACCGTCGGAAACAGAAACCAGGATGTCCAGATTCCGCGGCAAACTGATTAACCATTCATTGTCATTGTAACTGCATCCAGTGACTGACCCATGAGTTGTAACTTCTGCCAGCCTGCGATATATAACCCAGTCACCAGACACTATCATAGGTGACTGTTTGTACTCATACCCAGTCACTGGAATGGTCATGAGTGAGTACTGCTACAGAGTCCCAAAGAAGGTGGACGAAATATCTGTCGAAAACTTCTTGGTTTCCAATAGTTCTCCCAGTGATGTCACCTCGTGGTCTTCACTAGTAGCCTTCTCCTCAATATATATATATATATCATTACACAAGATATACTTACCAGAAAGTCAAGCGGATCATCAGGACGTTTACGAACACATTCTGTCAATCCTTTGGCTAGTACAGGCATTATGTGCTTACTTAGGTAAGCTCTCAGTGGTTCCGATGCTTTGTTTAACCAGGCCTGTTCTTCTTTCTCTAAGGCCTCCTGTTTTTCTTGCTGTAAAAAATATGAGAAAAAACAATTTACGAGGCATAAAGTATACGCACAAAGTATTAGATCCAGTTAAATTCGTCATGTGAAAATTACAAACAGGTTGAGTTACGAAACCTTTGATAACTAAAACCAATATTGATATCACAATATATATGTGATTTGTTTGACGACATGAGTGGCAGCCAAGAAGGCAAGCGAAATATTGTGATAGTATGTACTACCGATAAGTGGATATGAGAATAGCTGGAAACCATTCAACACGTCAGCCGATGGTACTTGCTCTCACTAGGCAGCCAGATCATCGAAGTGATCTAAAGACCTAACGGCCGTTTCGCCCACTTGTGATCGAGATCATCACAGTGGTGGATCCGGTAGGGTTCAGCTCAGAGAGGCGAAACATTCCAGTCAAACCAATCAAATAAGGGGTTAGCTAGGTTATGTTAACACGTAATACATAAAATTAGATTAGTCACTGACAACTTGGCCATTCGGCAGCAAACAGTTTCTTCAATTCTTTATTTCATCCTTCATTTCCTGAATATATATACTGTATAGGTTTCTTTTTATTACTTTACTTTCCAAGCAGAACATAGGGCTTCAAGCCAGAGCTCTGAAGTTTCGGTTGCAGTAGTTTTATTTACTTTTATTTTTAGGAGGTGGGACTGCTAGTCTCACTCACACTCAAGCTTCCCTCTTTACAAGCTTTACCACCGGTTTATAGCTAGGTTTTGGGAGTGCGTCGGCCGAGGTTCTAATCCCGGACCATGTGCGTGGTCACCACATATGCTGTATAAGTGATCAGAGTTAATTTTTAGTCTACTGTGCCCGCGTTTTCATTGGCCATCTCCTTCTATTTAGGGTCATGAATTAATCCCACATCGTGCCACTACCCGAGATTCTGAAATACTTGGGAGGTAGGTAATTAGCAATATGACTACAAAATTAAGACATACTGATTGGTCACTAGGGAATAACCGAAATCATTTGTGCTTACTCTTTGGTGTTGGTGGTGCTGTCAAATGGTGCTGCAATGTGATCAGTCAACTAAGCTGGCTGAATAGACATCTTTTTTATGGACATTGAAATTCCGTTAAATGACAGAAAGTCGTCAACCTTAGTTTCGTGACTACTTGGCACTTGTCAGAGTAACGTATCTGCAGCCTGTTTTGCTTAACAGGTCAATGCCATCTTTATGGTTTATCACTTGAATAAAGTTTAGTAGACTTTCTTTAAAGTGAAGGAAATATGAAGCTATTCAAAACTAGGCTTTCATAACAGTGTCGTCATGCAGCTGTCTAAAGATTGATATTTTTCAACAGCGTCCACAAAATTACCCCTTGATTTGCTTCAGTCGCTTCATTTCCGCGGAACAGACCGGGCCTTATAAGCTGGCAATACTACTCAGCTGTTCAGGTTACAATGAGTGGAGAGGGATTCGAACCTAGGAAACAGTAGCTTTTTGGTTTCATGAAAAAGTCATCTGATCCTTTTCTATGAAAAGGTTAACATTCAGTATTTCCTTGAATTCCTAGTGATATTCCAAGTCATTTGAATTCCTCTTCTAAACTCTTCTCGAATCGTTCAAGTTACCGTTTGTTAATCAATACTCATCTTTCTTCATGCTTTCTTTTGCCATTGGTTACTCCAGTGTGATTAGTCGTGTCTTCAAATAGTTCATTTGGTAGGTGTCTGGCTCCAGCACTGTATGACACTCTTTCGAATCACTGAATTACCTTTTTCCGATAAGCACGAAACCTGAGTCTAGGACCTCTGGTCTGTTACCTCCAACGACCTAAGACTGATTTAAAAAGTGGAAACTTACAAATTTATAATTTAGCCAGTCACACAGGCTTTTAGGATTAGACACATACTGACTAGCTTTTCCCTCCCTAAGTGATCAGTCAGTATAAATTCGAATATTTTGTTACGTGGGACAATTATGATCCATTATCTGCTGCACAGCATCGTCAATGTTCATTATCAGTTTCGTCTACCTGATATACTTTCGGTGCTCTTTAGTTTATTCAATAGCAACAGTGCTTACGCATTCAGCTGTGACTCTTCTCTCCCTCACTTTGATATGCCCATAGTTTTGTTTCATCTTAAAAGAATTGTATTTGCAGAATAAATTAGAGAAAACTAACATCATCTGGGACCATTGGCTGCTGAGACAACCGAGTCAATGCAAATGTGATTTGGCACACCCTGAAGCGCGATCATGTGCAACCAATTTAATTAGGTATTAACTGCCTTAACTTCCCAAGCTTGATCACGTTTACATTTATGATGTATTTTTGTGCAATAAAGTTGACCGTTTCCACTGGCCCAGAACAGCTTGTGTTCTGTTTTTATTTGAGTGGGATCTGGGGCTCAGAAGTCATTAGCAATCAGTATTCAGTCTTCCGTCTTCAGACAAGTTACTTATTGTCTTCCGGTATCGAACTCGCCTCCTAGCACTAATATTAGTACCGAGGTCATATCAACCCATGTCAAATTTGGATGTCTGTCTGTTTCTTTTCAACATAGAACTCTGCACCGATGTGCAGCAAATCAAGTTGCCACAATCCATGTAGCACCCAAAGCAAGAGAAGAAAGGTAAAATAGACACAGTTAACAGTGTTATGAGACAAAAGGAATAATAATAACGAAGAGCAATATAGTTTCATTGGAATTTATAAGTCACAAGGAGTGGACGAATCTGCGCCATTGAGAACAATTTTGAGTCATATCACCAATTGTTTCCAGCCATTGGTTTTTACAGTCCCGAGGATCCCAACCAGGAAGTCTACGTGGCTTAAACTAACTGTTGTGGATTTCACCGACTGACGAAGCCATGTTTCGGTTTGACCACCATTGGCTCTTTTCCAAGCTGATCCTATGTTAGCTAACATTTCCCGTCGAGGCAGGCGATGACTAGGCATACGTAGCTCTTGTCTTAACCATCTAAGTCGACGTAGCTTCACAGCCTCGTCTATTCATTACCTCTCCTTACCTAGGACTCGACCGATACCTTACTTCAATATTGCTCATCATATTATACCACTTCACACGGGAGATAGAATGCAGGCACCTATGATGGAAGACAGCTAGCCAGCCTTTTCATGTCTTCTACTTCCAATAACCTTGTCTTGCTCACAGCCCTGAAGGAAGACGGAGCGGACTGCTGAGCAGTACAGTACGCCATTTGGTCGACAGCCAGTTGGATATCACGTCTCCGCCAGAGACAGCGTAAACTGGAATATGAGAAACTAGCCTTCTATATCCGTTCTAAGATCTAGTCAGCTGACACAACTTCCCAAATAGGTGAAATGATTAACACGCTCTACCAATTCACTCCCTACCTTTAAGCTAGGAACAGTCGATGTAGTTCAGTCGTGTAGCGTCATCTTATATTTGATAGCTCAAGCGAATCGCATGCTGAACATTCGCATATCGCAGCTCAAGGTGCTCAGAAGGCTGGATTTTATTATCGTTTTCACCTAGAAGGACCACATCATCTGTATATTCTAAGTCAGCGAGGTTGTTCCGTGGTAGCAAGTCAATCCCTGAGTTGCTGAAGTCACTTAGAGTTAAGTCCATTGGTACATCTATGATGAAATTGAATAGAAACGGGGATAGTTGGCATCCTTGATGGACACCACTAGTTGTCACTACTTCAGATGACAACTCGCCGTAAGCTCTCACCTGGCTGGCTGCATGAGTTCGAGTGGAGTGCCTTGACCAGTGCAACAAATTTTCTCGTCATTCCCTTTACAGCCAAGCATCACCATAGTACCTCTCGGTCGACAGAATCGAATGCAGCCTTCAGGTCAAGAAATATGACAATTGATGGACGCCGATAAGAATGCCTATGTTCCAGAATCGGTTAATGGGTAAAGATATGGTCAGTACACCCTCTTCATGGTCTAAAGCCTGGTTCTCTCGTGTTTTTGCCTCTTGAGCACCACTTAGTCTACGCAAAATTATTGAGCCTAGAACTTTAGATACCACCATATTAGTCAAGCTAATCCCGTGATTATCACAGGAAGACTCGTCTCCCTTCTTGTATATCGGGATAATCAGTGACTTACACCAACTCGACGGGACTTCCTCTGATTCCCAGAAGCTGCCTAATCCCCTAGTTAACCCAGACAGTAAACTGTCTCCACCGTATTTAAATACCGCTGGAGTCATTCCATCAGCTCCTGCTGCTTAGACTTGTTTCAGACTAGTGACAGCCTTAGTAACCTCAGTTAGGGACGGAGGACTTGTGTCTATATCCCATTCAGAGAGGTGTTGGATGTTCGGCAGGTTGAGCGTAGCTGTAGACCAACTGAATTGCTCCTCAAAGTTTTCTTTCCAGCGTTCCACTCGTCTATCCTGAGAGCTAATAAAGGTGCCATTTTTCTCCGAGATTGCTTCACTTATCATTTGCCTTTTCCCACCTGTTTCCCTGATAAGCCTGAATAGTTGTCTGGTGTTACCAATCGCCGATGCTTTTCTATCTCTTTCGCTTTTGTCGCCCGCCACTATTCACGGTCGTTGCCGAAAATAGTAACTCTTATCCGAGCACCTTTGTTTACTGCAGTGACATTTCAGATGGTGTGTGATTACCTGTTGGAAGAAACCATGTAAGGCAACAATATTGTTCTCGGTTAAATTTTTTGAGCGTTTACTCTAATTTCCATAGCTTTATATATAAAAATTCAACCAATGACTGTAGGTTTGTCGATCAACTGATGATGATAATAATAATAACAATAGTAATAATAATGCGTTAATAATAAGAGCATTATAATGATAACGTGAGTCGGTGTCACAGCGGTAGAATGCTCGGCAACCATGCATGTGGTCTTGGTTTCGACCCTGGTTGACGCACTGCTTTACCTTGCTAAGCCAGTAATATAACTGGCGATGAGGGAAGGCTTTGCCTGAGGCTAGCAACCCCATTCCGCAAAAATTAACACCACTGCTACCGAAACTTCAAGCCTTTAGTTTGACGCCCTATGTTCCTCTGGGAACGTAAAGGAATAAAAAACAAAAATTATAATTATAACAAATTATTATAATGAAGTTTTTTGTAAGTGGCGATAATAATAATAACGAAGGTAGTAATATGTGTGTATGTAGACAATTCAATAAATAAATAAGGTCAAATCTTATAATTCCGTATGTCTAAACCAATTCACTTTTAAGAGTTTGAAAGATTTCGGGCATTGGATATATGATATTCATTATAATAAAAAGGTTTTCTTGTATTTCCCAATGAATCGAAACCAAAACGATATTGTAATTTTCACTGACATTTCGCTATTTAATGCTTGTGATGGCTTTATCAAAGTAATGATATTAAACGAGAATTTACAAAATCCACTCAGCTGATATATAACAACTTAATCATCGTCCCTCAGCATGGTATCATTTTTCGTTGTCAAATTGACCAATTGGTAAAGATAACAAAATCAAGTGGGGTTTGTTGGATTTGACCAGTGTGTAACATTATAAAAGTAGTATGTGTTTACATAGTGAACTTGCTTATTACATTCGTGTTGATTTTTTCACTTCATGGGGGAAGGGAGGGAGGTGTTGTAAGCAGGTCAGATTCTGTTTTAGTCCATCATTCCTGTTCAGACACTTTGGATTCCACTTGATATGAAGTGCTTCTGATATTACACGTTCTTTGTGATTTGAGAAGTTTTTCTGGTTTATTTCACTTATAAGTTGCGTAATACTAAAGGTGAAGTGAATTACATTAACATTATAATTTGCCCCTCATTGGTTTAGTTCTGTTTTATTTATAAAGCTATGTAAATTAGAGCAAAGCCTGAAGAAGATCCAATTGAAAAGAAAACAATAACATTCACTTATATGTCTTGTTCCAATATTAATTACGGGAATATTTAAAGACTGACAGGTAACCAAGCAAATTAATACAATAGTTCAAGGGTAAAAATATTTGTGAAAAATGCCCATCAAGTGGATTACATAATTTTGGAAAAGTTATACTTAAACCCAACTGTGATGCAGTTAAAGTTGATTTACCTTTACGAGTTCGTCCTCTGTATATGTGGCTGCAGTCATCGGAATCCACTGAAAGAAGCCGAACCAGTGTGTGTGTGTGTGTGCGAATCAGAGGAAATTCGTACAGACACTTTCTGTACCCCGGCCATCATTACATGATTGCAAAACACTGAAAATTTCTCCCTCCCTCCCCCCACCAAACTATCTAAAAGTTGTTATTGTTCCAAGTGTGCTATTATTCCGCCTACTTCATCTGTAGTTGCTTACTGCACAATCATTTCGGAAGCCCATTCATTTTTTATCCAGTCCTTTGATTTTATCAAAATCATGCATTGTATAACCATCTCGTTTGCTTTTTGAAAATATTTCCACCCTTTAACTATTTTATTAATTTTCACCCCCTCAACATGGCGATGTTGACTAACTATTGTTAACAAACTTATCACTAGTAGATTGGTGAATTTCTGTATTACATTGAAATCGCTAATGCATACACGTGTACATATCATCAGAGTAGAGGCGTAGACAAGAATCCAGTGTTTCTTCACTCAATCCAATGTTGTCTTCTAATCAGATATATGACAAATGTAAGGTAAGTTATAGATTTTTCTGAAAATCAAAAATACCATAACAATAATAATTGTTGGATAATTAAATAATCAGTTCATTAATTAATTACTGTAATTACCCATTCCTTAATTCTTTGACTACGTGCTGCTTCTGCTAACTGAACTTTTTGTTAAAAATTGCTCTTCAGCGATTCTTTCAAACTCCATACGCTGTTTCTCTTCATTTAATCGTTGTGCTTCAATCTCTTCATCAGTTGGACCATAATTACGCGGTGGACCAATGAAATAGACTAATTTTCTAAAGGTTTGTTCTAATTCCTTTTAAAAAGTTTTAAATATAAAATAAAATAAAATTTATGCATACTGACTAACTGACTGACTGACTGACTGATTTTTTTAATGTAGAAATTTTCACAGAAGGTTAGCAGTTTGACTTGCCAAACAAAAAGACAGAAATGCACACGAGAAAGAGTAATTCCATGGGAAAAACAAAAGGAGATTGCAGAGTGAATGCATCTCTCTGCCATAAACAATGATTTGAAACTATATATCCCAAAAAGTCTGAAGTTACTGAGGGTCTTAGCAACTCAAGGAGCCTAACTGACCAGGCGGTCTACACGTCCCTAAATGAATGACTATAACCAAATGTCAAAGACTTTGCCGATTGGTGCCATGTGCTCATTTGACTACTCTACAACTTTTTTCCAACTTGATCCCATGTCGACAAACAATGTTAGACAAGGAAACTGACGATTCGGAATATGTATCGTGATTGCCAGTCACCTACCTTGATGACCACACTGAAAATGTGACTGATGTTAAATCCAGTCAGCGCTAACGCCAAGGACTAGACAAATGGCACTGGTTACTCCTTAACGGCCAGTCAGTGTATCCATTACAATCCTAGAGAAAGTCAATCGTGAGCCTGAACAACTCAGTCGTAATGTCTTTGCATGCAGCAGTGGTTGATCCGAAACAGATCTCTGAGGGAACATAAACTTCTTCGGGGTTGTAGAACTGCCTTTTTGACGAGTGCCAACAAGGAGGAAACTTGGGTGACCGAGGGCTTCTTGACGATTGCCTCCAACCATCTAACTATCAGGTTTGTTGCTGCTCCAGGTCAAAAGTATATCCATTTTGTAGACTAACTGTATGCATTCAAGACTGTGAGATTTCAATGCTGACGTATAATATAACTAAATAATATCGTATTTAAAGTAAGCCATGCATGGTCGAAGTCTCCGCACTAAAATTCGACATGTTAGCAGAGACCGTGCATTAGAGTCACATATAAATCAATCGCTCTGGTGGGGAATTGACAATAATCTCACTACACAGAAACTGATGTCATCTAATGCACAATGCATGACTTTCACAGTTCACTAGCCTCAGTGGGTACTACATTTTTGATTGAAACGATCGGAGCTAGATTCCAGTTTCAATGAAAACACCATCACTCAACGGGGATGCAGCTGCCTCTAGGTGACAAGAGTCTAAAAAAGGGGGAGAGTAACATCCATCCTGAATTGCACTACTATCCCCCATCAACTGCCAATAGACTGTTTGAAATCCGTCAACCGGTATTTTCATAAACAAACTACTTCTAAATATTTCTGTTACCATAGTCATCGAATGCAGTTTAAGCAGATACGTATTCTCAGCAATTTCTCATCAAGCTTTACAATTACATAATAAAACATCAATCATACACATTTGAACATAATCAGGTTAATACAACTAAAATTTAGGCATGTGAATTGGGGGGTAACAATCGAGGTGATCACAACAATAAAAATAATAATATTAACAAGGATAAATTGATTCAAGTGCTTATATAATCTGGGCAGTCAATTGTCGTGAATGTGCGTACTTGTAGGGGTTTCAGGGGGAAATAACAGTTGTCTCATAGCGATTAGACAACATATCAATAACAATAGTAATGATAGATTGGAAAACTAAGACTAAGATATGCAACCATAGCACAACATAATTAGATAACAAAGTTAGTTAGCAGTACAAATTAAAATTATATTTACAGATATCCCGCAACTATTCCAGGTTGGGGGTGAAAACCACAGGAAGGAGAGAGATTGAACACACTTATTCTGAACACAAAGATTAGGATGAAAACTCATTATGGAGAGACTGACTCAGCTATGCTTAGCAATCGAAGGCGTACGAACCTAGGGAATTCAGGTGATGACACCTTGTAAAGAATTCTAAAGGCTGAATGCTTTTCATCAATCTTTCTTATTCTCCGTATGCACTAGATGTGTCAATATGGAACTCCTGACTAACTTAACAACAACTCCTTTTCCTAACCACGTCTGACAATACTCAAGGTGGCATATGGTGGGCTCTCCGAGTCGTTCAACCTATATAACTGCCTCTACAAGTACAGTTAAAATTTATAAATGCACACTGAAGCGATCAGGCTCAGTGTGGCATGTGTCCTACTGACAAGATTTATCAGTAGTATATAGACGCATATTGTTAGGAAGTGGCCAAAACTGAAGACGAAATTTTACATCACTAGAAGTGTTTATTTCTCAAGTCTGAATTTGGCTTACGTTGTGGCCAGGAAACAGTCTGAAGGTCTAACCGTCATAAAATCAACAACCAACCAGGACAGTTATTATTATCCGTCGACCTAGCCGACCATAAATGTAGCTGAAACTGTATGAATATATGGGGTATGTTTTCCCCAATAAAAATGTCAGTTACTGAGTGAGTTTCTTATCTTCTCCTGTTATACCAGTGGTAGCTTCTCCTTCGCATGCATTGGAATTTTATTATGCAGAGCTATAAAGCTTGATGAGAAATTACGAGAAATATACAGTCGCTCAGGTTGTATTCTATAACCACTTTGACGGGAGTTTTCATTCAAGTGAAAATGCTGTTTACTGTTTCCAGATTAGATCATAGATCGGCAACAGTTAGAAAACCAGTGAGAGCGATAAAGCACTGAATAGCTGTTGCTTCCGAATCCGGAATTCTTCTTCAGAATTAACCATCAGAGAGCCCACTGAGGATCGGACCCAGGACTTCTTGGTTACCATATATGCTCTTCACCATTCAGCCACTGTAAAAGAATTCAGTGACCTGCAAACCAACATTTGAAAATTATATTAATGCACAATAGTCACTGACTATAGGATAAGGTCAACTGGAGTTCTAGTCAGAAGTCGTAACCATGGGGCTACGCTGCACTGAGTGTGATCAGAGGTATTCGCCTATAACACTAACTAGCAGTGGCTCTGTATATATCGCCAGTCGCCTGAAGTTAGAATTTACAAGTCTTCGAACTCTAGTGCGTTTCTCAGCCTGAAGATCCAATATCTAATGGTATCATGCATGTGTACGTCTGTATAGCTGCAAAAGAGATAAGAAAGTCTGTGTAATCCGTGGTTCTCAATGGTTCTCTAACTGATGTCAAGGGATTCCTTGATCTAACTGATGCCAAAATACAAAACAGTCAAAACAACAGCATATTTCAGACTAAAGTTCGCCTGATAGAGTAAACCAATCGGTTCACTGATATTTCTACTCCTACTCACTTCACTTTCATCCGTCATTATATTCACAGGGATTTGTAGAATTCCTTTTGAATCAAAATATGCTCTAACAGAATTTTCATGAATACTTGCCGACGCCAATGGACTCAATGGATTTGGACTGATTTGTTCAGCTTCAGGATCTGAACCCGGTGTACCGGGAAGATTTAATACCGGAGAAATAGCTGGATTGACGCCTAACTGATTAGTACGATACTCGGTTAGACGACGCCAAAAACCAGCCTCAGTATAATGTGTCCCGTGTACTTTATACTCTGGCATGTTCATTATACGATCGCGTAGAAAACTGTCAGTCGCCTGCAGTTCAAATACATAGGCTGGCAATAGTCCTTTAGGAAGTTGTGTAGGTATTGGTTGTGTGGGTAAAAGGCCTGGTTCTTTAGTCACATCCACCGCATCTGTTTCAGGTGGTAAATATTTCTTTTTGAATATTTCATTGGCTGACTGTCCAAGATCTAGCTTTTTGTTCGATTTTGTTCCATCGTTATCACCACCTTCATCATCTTCTTCTTCATTTTCTTCCTGCTCCTCTTCGTCTTCTTCTTCACCAACACCGCCACCAACTGAAAGAGAGGCAACAGGGAAAATCAAACAGAATTGATCAAAAGTACCTCACTGATCCCAACTCCAGGCAGCTTTATCCTACACTTTTTTAAACATTACAAACAAGGAACATTGGAAGTAGTCCTACGTGGTTAGAAAAAGGGAGGTTAATCACTGACTGGATCACTGCTGAGCAAATCATTACCGAACAAGTGCGATCGAAACAATGCAACTTTGTCCTGTAGTTAGTGACTAGCGGGCATTACACCGATTTTCAAGCATTGGTTTGTCTAGATTTCATTGATTTCAAGTTGGTTTATGATTTAGCATCAGTTAAAGAACCTTATTTATATATATCTCTTTGGCTAAATGGTCAATGGGCCTGCCTCATAAACTGAAGGCCCTGAATTCGATCCTCAGTGGAGTCATGTGTGCGAATCGCTGTAGATTTACAAAGTGGGCAGACAAAAATACTGTCTAGTTGTTTTTAATGAATGTTTCTGTAAATGATATCATTTCTTCATCTAACTTGGAAGCAATCAAACACACACAAGCCTTGCCCTCAGGCATATCTCTATAGAAACATATCCTATTTGAAGAAATTCCTTTCAAACATCTGGTATCAATCAGAAAACAAGTGACTATCTCCAGTGGCTACATTGTTTAGAACTCAATTAATTTCTTCTCCAAACAGGAGCAGAAAGAGAATTATTACTGCCTTACTGAAGAGCCAAGGGGACTGGTGACTGAGACCAGACACACACTGCCAGTCTCACGGTGTGTCCGTATTAAGACTGTACTGTCGGATACGAAGCACCAAAAGACAAATGGAGAAGTATGGTCCTTGGAGTCATTGTTTCCTAATCCATCCTCCCCAGAAAGGAGATGCAACACAGCTGCCTAGCTAGTAGTCCAAGTGAGAGACATCACTATCTTCACATCCCTATTTGACAACAGTATGACTTTAAACTCAGATCCCAAAGATAGTATGAAAGGCTTACACTACAGCGGTAACAGCTTTTAGTATAGTCGCTATTCTAACAAATCCTTTGAAATAGCAGAACATGCAGTAACATTCATTTTAGCTCGTTCAATTCACTAGGGTTTATTGCGGCATATCATTGCGACCACCACGAGTCGAGATGAAAGCTGTCGGTCAGCATACAGCTCTTCTGATATGATGACTGAATCGTTCATCAGTGTTATTCATTCAGTCCGTTAGCCTACCTATCTGTTTAACTGTCAGAAATAATAATAATCAACAAGGAATTGCTGTGCTAGCGAAAAGACTCAACAACCTATTGTCAACGAATATGCAGAAAGAGATAAAGATGGATGAATTGAGACTTTCATGTGACAACACACTCCAGCAAGTCATTGAATACAAGTCGTATGGGAAGCGACCAGGTGGACTTGTGTTTATCCGAGGGCTGCAATGGGAATATAATCTGAAGAATGAATGCAAGTATCTTGGCAAGCATTCGTGCGGCTAGCTGAAAGTAATGCTAAAGAACTGAGTGGATGGCGAAGAAGGGCCTCCGAAGCCTTATGCTTCACTCGAAACTCAAGGAATGAATACTACGTAGAATAATTTATACTACATTGACGGTAAAACTTACCAGCGAATAAAGCAGCTGCTTGCTTTTTAGACTTGGGATAACCATCAATTATGTAACCTTGATTTTGACATGGTTTAGAATTAAGTTTCTCTTGAAATAAGCTTAGAAATAAAAACAGAAAAGATAAAATTTAACGAACATAGATTCCAAGTGTGTGTGTTTGAAATAAAAAAATTGTTTTTTGAATTGTTTAGAAAGCGTTTTGCACATGGCTACGTTTTTCATATATTAAGCAGAGAAGATGAAATGAAAATCTGATTAGCGCGTGAGGATCTGAGCCCATGGGACCTCCAAATTACTAGTCTCTAGATCTTTTAGCGATTTGAGCTACGAGATGAAACTGCTAATCGGGTCATCATTTAGTAGCTGTCGCCACGTTAAATGCCCATGTGCATTAGTAAGCGATCCGTTACTGTGTTTGCTTATCATCACAGTTCGCTGTGCAATTGGGTTATCTTCTGTCAATCTCAACCACGCTGAATTAGAAGAAAGAGAGGAACAGGTTGCTAAATGAAAGTAAGACTATCTGAGGTGCTGATGGGATTCTGCAGAATCTGATTATTAAGGCAGTGGAAGGTGGATGATTGTGAAGAAGAAGAAGAAATGATAGTCTAGTTTCCTTCTGTAGGAATCCGAGTCATGAGGCCTCCAAATTACTAGTCCAGTGCTCCTTCTGCTGAGCTATGAGACCCAACCCAACTATTAACCAGGTGACCATTTCACTACATTCATTACAAATAATGCTCAGATATCATATGAAGTCATGTGTGCTGACTGAAGGTGAAAGAAAAATTTATGTCACTGGGGCATTCCAACCACTGGTCTCCCAAATACTTTCATGCCTCTCTTAAACTTTGTTAATGTATGAGTATTTCCCCGCTTTGCATTCTGAGTAGAGTAGAAAAAAGAGCTTTCCGTTTCCTGAGATTTAGAGTTTCAGCAGTGGTGGCTTTGTTTTTGTTCATGTGGTAGAGTTGCTAGTCTCTTGAACATATTTATATGTATATATATATGTATGCAGCAATGTTAATCTCTGTCTTACCAAACTTCTCACTATGTTGCATAATATTCCATGTGCCCTGTTATTTTTACGCCCATTCCAAGGATCTATAAATTCCATTAGCTATTTTATATATGCCAAATGCTGTCTTCGCTCAATAACACTCAAGGTCAGATGACTGGCCAGAAAAGATTAGCAACAGAGTTGCATCTCTGAGAGCGAGCCAACCAGAAACCAATTGTGCAGCAAGTAAGCAGGAAAAAATGGAAGTGGATTGGCTGTACTCTGAGGAAACCATCAAGTGATATTACAAGACAAGCCAACCCGAACGGGAAGCGATGAGTTGGTCGTCAGTGCGAGGGTGACATGGAGGAGGTCATGTGAAGATGAGATGAAAGCATGTGGTCAGATGTGGAGCCAGGTGAGAACATTGGCAGAGAACCGAACGCAATGGAAACGTGCGGCGGAAGCCCTATGTTCCTCTAGGAACTAAAGGAAACAATAATAATAGTAATAAATGCTATTTTGTTATCATTTGATTATGATCACGAATAATTTGTTGCATTTCAAATCAGTTTTTCGTTGTGGTATTCACCCTGTTTGCATAGATTCATTAATAGGATCCAGTGTTTTGCAGAAATCACAAGTTGATACGGTTGTATAGGTTGGCAATAAGTTCGTTAGAAAGAATCGCATCACTGAATACCGTGTTCTCAATATGTTACAATGGATATTATTAAATTATTGAAAAATGAAAGAAATTCGTGTGTTCTTATGTTATTCTGTCAAATTTTTAGTTGGTGAAATCTGAGATGAACCATACACCTGAAAAATGAATATTCCTTTTTTTAAATTTTTATTATAGCTTGATTTCACACAGTATTTTGGTACAAGTATGAAATTTTCAGCATGTGATATCAGTGGCCCAAATTCAGCAGGCCGACCAATAAAAAGGGAGGTCTATGAGGCCTCCCCACTGACAAAAACCACACACCCGAGCGCACCCGATTAGGGTCCGTGGGTTGCGAGTTTCAACCCACTGAGGTGCAGTGGTGAGCCTCCACCCGGGGTCAGAATATTCTTGATCACCCTGAACCCAGCGCCAGGGCATTCACGTGTAGCCACGTCTATCCAGTAAGTCTTGGTTTATAAAAGGGCAGTGTTTGGCGATGCCTACTGTTTATCTGGAAAGGTTAGAATGCTCAGTTCCAAAAGCCGTTTTGTTAGTTGACCAGGGGTAGGGTTAAAAACATGTTACAACCACTGCTGAATAACATGATCTCGCATTAAACTAACAATAATAGCAGTAGCAATAATGATAATAACGGCCTTATTCTAAAAATACTTTTCATGCAGCGTGGAATTCTCCATTTTGTAGCACATTTCATCGAATACTCCCTCTCCTTCTACATTACTTACTAAAGCTAAGAATGAATGTAAACTGTTATTCTTCGGAAATCTACAATAATAATGATGTCAGTGATATACGAATGCAAAGTTAAAGTTATGCATTAATAAAAACAGTGACGACAAGGCACAATAATGGTAGGGAGAGCATAAAGAACCGTCTCCGCAGTAAGTTTGTTAACTTCATGCCTTCACACACCTTTTCCGCCGCATAAAACAGATTTCAGACAGGATGTCGTTGAGTTTCTACATTCACTCATGTGATCATAATTGCATCTTGTTTTCTACATGGGGCAATGCAACGCGACAGTTGTGAATAAAGAGGGTGCTTACAGTCTGACAAGATAACTTTTGGTAATTTATTATATCATTTCAATACGTCTATCAACACCGATACCGACAAATTGGCCTAAAGTCATATTATCAGGTATACTGTGCTTCTTCCTGCAATAAAATTTTTGTTTTAAGTAACCCAGGAAAGATTGAGGGGGATGCAGTAACGAAGAATAGGCAGAATGCAAAAGAATCAACAAACTGTGTAAGTAGAGACTAAGCACTACCAGACTGTCTTGAGATTTCTGCATAGCAGGTTAGCCAAAGTGTGTGTTTCTAGGAGTCAGTCAGTTAGAATTGATTATCTTCTTAATTTCAGTTTGATTATCATTTGCCGTTGCTTGATAATGTTGAACCGATGTAGTCAAAGCTTCCGCCCTAGGAGCCGCCGACATGCCATCTGAGACTCAGCATTTCGGTATGAAACCTGTTGTGCAAAGCTTGGCTATAGTGGCAAAAATAGCCTAATGGGTAATGCTTTGAAACAATGGATACGAGGTTTGAATCTCAGAGGAGAACATCACCACTTGCCCACTGGAGGTGCAGGCACATCTAGTTGACGGGTCCCGAATAGGACAGAATACGTATCCTGCATGACATCATGTTTCGAAGTTAATTGGTTAGCTAGTAAAAACATAACTTCCACTCACGTGGTTACATATTCTATACCAAGGCGACCATTATTTTCCTCCAAATTTTGTTGAATAGCTTCCAGAAGTTCAACATCAGCAGTACTAGCGTGTTCTTCTTCACTTCCAGTCTGATTTTGATATGGATCCACTTGGGCTTCTTCTGCTAGTTGAACACGTTTTTTCTATTGATCATGAATGAGATTAATACGAAGTGTCTAAATTTATGTCACCTGAAGTTCCTATTTACGTCTTATTAAATCGATATGAAAAGGTTATGGTGATAAACAATTCCCACCCCGCCGCCCCCATCAATTATTAGCAAGTAACAAGGAATTCTGAATGCGAGAAAACCAGCCAATAACGTATTGCCAAGCTAACAGATATGTAGAAGGAAGTCTAGATGAATGCACTTGATGGATATTTAGGTGACATCACACGCCAAGCATGACCTCAAGTGTAATCCGAATGAGAAGCGATGAGTTAGACCTGTATGGGTCCAAGAGTGATTTGGATGAAATGGGAGCTTGTAGATATGTTGAAAGTTGAGGGTACGCAGTCAAACAGTATCTCCATTTGGTTCGCTGCTACTTAACGTCCAATTATTCATCAACGATCTTAAGATATCCAAGTACTTACATACACCACTGTTCTATATTAATGAACCTGAAATATGTTCGGCATTTCGGACGATCAAAATTATTTTTCTGCTATCCCTCTTTTGTGGTCATTTCCCTATTGAAGTTTAGATCGCTTCAATCTATTTAGGAAGCACTACTGGTTGGTTATGAGTAGTATACAACTACTAATCTCAACTAATCGGTCTTATACAGTTTTATATAATCAATTTAACTGGGACCAACACACCCCGAGAACTAGAAATACATGATATAGGCGACCTACCTATTGACAAATCAACGTATCTATTACAGTCCTACAAGAGGTCAGTGGTGAGTCTGAATAGTCCGATAGTAACCTGTTTGACTGTATCAATGGCGGATACACGTTTGGATCTCAGAGTGAGTGGACATCAATTCCTTCACTACAGCAGATATGTGTTGATGGATCCTATTTGTGATTACCTTTCAACAGTTTAACAATAATTATATTTCTCCTTGATGACTCTCTTCACTTATACTCAATGTAAAGTATAACAAACTGACGACAGACACAACAGTACTGTTTACACATTTACTCATTCAGTACCATTTCACTTTGAAATGTTGTACTGGAAGTTCTCCAGGATATTATTCACTTATTTCTTTATGAAAAATGCAATATACATACATATATAGTGAGTGGATTAGTGGATAAGTTCACCATACCGACAGAATTTCATTCATTCACCTCATTTCTAACAGAATAAAATCAATTTTCTGTCTCTTTTCATTCCCTGCAGTGGCAGTGTTGTGTTTATGTAGTGGAGTTGCCAGCCTCACAAGAAACCCAACCCTCTTTTCTTTGAGTTTTCTATCGCTCAGGCAAGTTTCAGCAGTGCGTATTGGTGGAGAGGAATGAAACTGGAAACACTAGGGTGTTCAGTAAGCATTCTGCCATTGAACTAATACGTCTTTTTACTTGTTCTCCATCTATACTTCCCTCATATTTTTTTAGACTGCCTAAGTACTTTGCAATTTCAAAAACAATTTTAGCTTCAATAGTTCTCTAAATGATGTGCCAACAATTCGCCGTCTGGCATGGAATCAATCAAATTGAAGCATACTAGCTAACTTGAGAACTTATTCCACACATGCTCACTGTTGACTGAATGCATTGTTGAAGTTGTCTGAAGTTTCATTCAGACGTCCATCAAGTTATCAGGTGAAAAATTTGGTAATCGCCGATGACATTGCCTGGTGGTAGTAACGAGAATCGGCAGAAGTTAGAATTCAAAAGACATTAAATCTCTTCCGGCCGGGTAGCTCAATGGTCAACAGCTTGGCTTTGTAACCAGAAGGTCTCATCGAGGAGAGGCATGGGTACTTCTGCAAAGTCCCAAACTGGGACTGCCTGGTGGTTTTCAGTAGTTCTGTAACTCATGTAATTCCGCCATGTGACTTGATATCAGCTAAATTTCTGCAAATCAACTCTTGCAGTGAATAAAACGATGATAATTATAATTATTTTTGTTTATAAATCAATAAAATTACTGTTAAATCTTATTTGAATGTATATGCACAGTAATATAAGCTAATTGAAAAAAATAATTAAGCTAACAGTTATATTATTTACCACTTACTAGATTCGCAATCGAGTCATCTATTACACTTTTGATATGAATATGTGGAAGCTTATAGTATTCACATAGTTTTTTAGCCAACGTTGTTTTCCCACTGGCCGGTGGACCAAGAATACACAATCGTATAGGCTAAGTGGTTTGCAAAATTAAGCAAATAGTAATAATGGTAATAGTAATTATGTTGTAAAGTTCAAAGATAGATAAATGAATAGACAGATAGATAATGTTGTTTCTCTCAGTACTAAAGATCAAATGGCCAGGTAGAAAGAACTCTGGCGGTGCAGCAGATTAGCCGATAACCCATCACCCAACAAATATGCAGTGGGAAGTGACCTCCAGGTGTTGGCACACGCCGGGAAAGCCACTGATTGAAAACCTGATGGCAAGCAGCGAGTTGGGTGTGAGTCCAAGGGTGATATGGATAAGGTTGGAAGCATCCGTCGAGCCATTCGAATGTGATGGCAGATAACTGAGTGCGATGGAGACGTGCCCTGACTGAGTCCTTATGCTCCCTTTGTAAGGCGGGGAACGACTGAAAATGTAATAAATAATACGACAATCTCTGCATAACCAATGTATAAATTATCCATTTTCTTCGATTCGTTTTACTGTGAAGTGAGGTGCTCAGTTTCTTCACACATTTAGTGTTTGTGTAGAGACGCTTTCATAATGTCTTCAGATTGATGGTGACTCGCATGGGGATGCACAACAAATGTTTCCTTTTATTTAAGACTCGTCAGCTGGATATATCTGCATTATCATGTGTCATCGTGTAATATGCGGTCTACCTGGTATCATAAATTGCAGTCAAGAAACCAAGCGATACAGACTGATGGTATGCATAGACTACTTACTAATCAGCTAACATGAACAGCTGGAAACCACTGTCATCATACAGTTGTGCTTAACAGCTAGGCGGTCAAAGTGATTTTTTGCCTTTTGGAATCCAGCTCATCTGCAGTTTATTGATTTTGAAGCAGCCCAGAGAGTCAAATTAGACCACTGTTTGACATCAGCACGCTTCCATATGCTCGTATCAGTCAACCAGTAGTGTGTAGTATTATGCATTGATCGCCTGCTTCTTAAATGATCTTCTTACATGTACTACAAATATATTTCTGTGATGTGTCATATCTCCACACATATTACTTTACTGCATTGCCTTAGGCCTGAGGAAGTGGTTTTCAATTCATCTATGATAATAAAAGCATATTATGCCCTTGGATTCCGAGAGAAACATAGGACTTCAACAGAACATCTCCATTTCGTCCTGTTCTCTGAAGTCCTCCGCATCTGGTCACAAGATTTTATCTCCTCCTCACATGGCCAGCCGCATGTTACCCTCAGAATTCCACCTAGTTGTTTCCCATCCAGGCTCCATTCGAGCGGTGGTCTGGTGCGCAGTATCACCCAATGGTATTGTCAGCATGTGTCCGATTCATCTCCATTTCTTACGGCATATATGTTGAGTAATTAGTTCTTGGTTGGTTCGCTCCCAAGGTTTCTTGTCACTAATCATTCCCAGCTGGCCATCTGACCTTCAGTATGGAGCCAGTGAAGGCAGCTACTCATAAAAGTCTGCAGTAACCTAGTGGAAATGCTTTTCGTGATGCGTGCGCCAAGTTTCTGTCCCGTATAGAAGGATGACTGACTCAACATTGGTGTTGAATAGAATCCGAATCTTGTGCTTATTTATGCTGAGGCGGAGTGCAGAAGATTACCAAACCGATTTCAGATTGATGAAGGTGTATCCTACCTTTCCGATTCTGGTCTTAACGTCTTCATCCGTTCCGACTGCCTGCAGTTGGAACGATGCTTTCTAGATAAGTGAAAGCAGGAATTAACTTCTTCCAGGTTTCTCGTGTTGACAGTGATTGGAGCTTATTGTTGGTGATGTTGTTTGATTGACTGGTTGTCTTCGCCAACTCCGTCTACTCCACGTTCACCTGGACTCCCGTCTTCGCTACTTCTTCAGCCAGTTTGTTGGTGTTTGCCTGGGTGTCCTGGAGTCTGTGTGACGTTAAAGATAAAACATATACGTTCGAAATCCATATCTCCTAGAATCTTTCCACTGTAATCTGGTCTTCTCGCAGTGCACCGATTATCTTCCTCACAATCTAGTCCACCATAATTAGGAATATCATTGGTGATACTGGGCAGCACCGTCATACTCCTTTATTCACTTTTAAGCCTTTGTTGAGTTTTCCGTTGTGAACAACCTGACACGGGGCATTGTGATATCACTGTGGTTGAATGAGGTTGATAAATACTTGGGCATTGAACGCCAAATAGTTGAAGTACTTTTCAAACTACTTCTCGCTTAACTCTGTCGAAGGCGTTTTCGAAGCCGATGAAGTTAATGTATAGGTCTGATTGCCATTCTATACTTTGCTCGATGATGAGTCGTAGGTTTGCATATTGATCCACGCGTGATTTGCGTTTCCTGAATCTGGCTTGTTCCGATTTGGCGAAGTTCTGCACCCAGTGCGTCTTTTGGTCTCTTCGCGAAGATTAGAAAACCTCATTAAATAACTCTTGTTTAATTTATACCTATTCCAGTTGCCTCTTCTAATATTTCAAAGTAGCATATATACGCCTGATTGTTGTGCAATTATTTCTTCTACTTTTTTTGTTCTCATTTTTTCAATAATAATGTCGTCGTACGCTTAACACTCAACGATACAATATTTGGCCCGTGTTCTAAGTGACAGAGCCTATGTTAAGCGCGAAACCTGTGACTTGCTTTGTTGTTAATAACCTAATTTTAGGCTCTTTTATTTCTCTCTTATTTTGTATTCTATAGTGAACTCCTTAAACATGCTTAGCTACCTAAAATATTAACACTGGCTTACTTTTTTGTACTTTATTCTATTCCTTCTTCTGTTTATCTACTGGTTCCGACTATATTAGCACTATGAGTATTACAAAATTGTCCTGTCATTAAACATCATGTAATGCTAGTTTTGTAGTTGTTTTTGTTCGGCAATATTAACTGACAATCTTGGTTGTGAAAGCCATTGTCACCACCTTAAAATTTTATATTATGCAGGATTACTCACACTACCACTACAAACACTGCATTAGACCTGACAATAAAAAACCCTGAAATGTTATTTTATGATTGTTTAGTGTTGTTTCAACCAAATTAACTGATCATCTTGGCGATAAACACTCTTAAATATCATTTCACAACTTCTTGTATGGTTATAGCTTTACTGTCACCATGCATAATCATATCATAGCTTCCGCTACCCAATACTGAGATACTATTATATGCTGTTTATTTTCCTTTCTACTTCTTGGTATTTTTTCGCATTTTTTTTAGTATTTTTGTGTTTGTTTTTGTTGTTGTTGCCTTAATATTTATTTTTTTTGAAATACTCCTTTTAAATGTTTGGTAAAATTAGATGCAAATATTGTAGATATGTGCTGAAAATTCCACACTGTACCACTAGTACTGTTTCTGGAATAAAGCAAATTATTATTATAATTATACTCTCCCAACTTCTCTCTCTGCATCTTACCCATATACTTTGTGCATGATGTTTCTAAGACTGGCAGTTCAAACTTACTTAGAATGTTGATGATAAAGCTTTTGTTGTTTGAAATTCTATATACTTTGCATCACAATTGAGTTAAAATTATGTTCGCATTGTACATGTGAGCAATAGTGAAGTTATTGGTAGAATTGTCAGGTAAGCAGAAGCGTAAATCAATCGATGAAATTATGAAACTGTATTGATCCAGAACGTCTAGGATGCGTGTTACGCATGTCATTGTTCACTGGCATAGGATTATGCCTCCAAAGCCTCAGGATTGTTGGGGGTGGGTGCCTTGCTCTGTGGGTTGGCCACCCCTCCACACACCTCTTGAAATGCTCCCATATGACCGGGCGTCTTACATAGCCTCTCCTGAGGAAGTTCTACTCACTGCCTTCACGTGGCGGAGGTGCTTTTCACCAAAGTGAGAGTGCGAAAGCGGATGCCCGGCGCTCTTCACCGGGTTGACTGTCCATTGGATGACAGTCTAGGGGAGATGGCTAAACCCTGATTCCAAACCTCCACTGGAGCTCACTGGAGCTCACCGGCAGACGTATAGACAAAGGGCTTGTTGGATGTCCTGGATGTCTGGCCCCATTCAAAAAGGCGTATGAACCGAACTCCGGTCACCGGCTGCCAATCGATAGTGGACTTCCTACTCCACTCCTACTGCCTTGTAGGTCACACTTGGTTGTGTAAAGGCTAGAGCTGCACTCTCAAACAAAAGGCCGAGCGATTCTGGGGACATCACTCGTACCAAATTCCCATGAAACTTCATGAACTCTCTTACAAACGATCAGATCGCCGCGCCTGGGCAGCGATGATTCGAGATGTTTATGAAGCTGGCTCATGCTCCCTTAGGAGATAGCCGAAGTAAAGTAAAATAAGTAAGTATATGATTATGTTGGCACAGTGTTAAGGTGGTGTAGACTGCCTGGAACGATTCCTTAGTGATGCTGGTAACCAGTGGTTAGAAACTGTTACTTGCTAGACTGAAAATCCTCGTCAATGGAGTAGATGCATGCAGATCTTTTGAATTCTAATTCAAAATATTCACAGTGGGTACATAGGAAAACAGCGGTTACTTCGCTTTGCAGAAACCATTAATATCAAACAATTTCAACTTGATCTGTTTACACAGAAAGAAATCGTTATCAGTCTCGTAATATCCTGGTGACTAGATGTCTCTGTTCTGTTTCCGTTGTATTTCTGTTAATTCACAGTGTTTCTTTTGATTACAACTCACTGAGTGCACTGGATTAATTAATTATTAGATTATGAAATTGTTTTTTTTTTATATTATTTTTGCTTACCACTTCCATTCACTTCCAACCTGTGCTCGCAAACGTTCCATTATATTATTTATCAATAAACTCTGGTTGTCAGATTATCAGCTACCTTGTAGATATGTATCTCTTCCTCCACATAAATGTCCTTTTTCATTTGAAATAATTTTCAAGAATGCTGTTGTGTATGCATTAATAAACTCGTGGAGAATACTAAAAGCTCACTGCAAATTAAATTAATATAATTTTTTAATATTTTTATATTTTATATTTTTTTAATTTTTATTACAGCTTGATGCCACACCGTATTTTCAGTGCAAGTATGGAATTTTCAGCATGGATATCTGAAGCCCAAATTTTGCGTCGGCAGGGGATCGAACCCCGGATGGTCGGCGAGAGTCCTAACCACTGTGCCACCGACGCACAGATATATTCTCTATCTAGGAAGATAATGAAGGCTTAGCAGCTCAACCATGCAGCTAAGAGAACACAGCTGCACCAATAGTTCATACAAGGTTGAGATTTTTTTAACCAGACGATATTTTGTGATCTTTGTACATGGCCAGACAAGAAAGAGAAGGCTGAAAGAAAACAAGACACAAAAGGTAACGAAAAAAACGTAAACTTACTAATAATTGACGTGATAGTTTATATTCTTTAGTTATTGCATTAATATTCTCTACAATTCCTGTTTCATAAGTCCATTTAATTGGAAGGTTTTCTTTAATGTATACAGCATCCATGCGTAGGGAGACTAGAAGTTGGTCTAGATGACTTTGCTAAAGGTCATTGTGCAATGTAAAGAAAATAAAACAAGATGAAAACAAGATGAGAATCTTTGTAAAATATAATAATTTCCGAATAGAAAAAAAAGAATGCTTATTTGTAGCTCAGGTGGATGATTTTGATGTGTAATGTTCAAGCATAAAATGAACATGTTTGAATTTCTTCTCCATGATTGATATATAGTTGTGTATCTCTTTTTACAACTCTTGTAGTGATTGATTGTTCATTTTGCATTAGTATTATTCAATTCGAATGCATGGGAATTTCAACTGTTTTGTTATAAGACTTATTCTTTATTAGTTGATAAATTTGATCTATAATAATAATAATAATAATGGACAACTGTTTCATCCTAGTTTGCGACTCTCCAGTACTACTTATCTATGATCCCACAGTTTCAGTGGCTGAATGACCTAGACGTCCTGGGTTCGACCCCTCTCAGAGTGCAATCGAAAGACGGTGGATGAACAGCTGCTATCCAGTGTGTAGTCCTTAGTCTTCAGCAGTTAATCAGTGAATGAGTTGAACTCATTCACATGAAGAAATAAAATTATTCAATTAAAATTATTCTGTTTAAAGAGTATTCTTATGATGATATAATCAATAGACCAACAACCAATGACCTACCGTTAAATCTTTACAAAACAGTGCTTCCTCTTTGGATATAGATCTCACTCTGCCTGTTGTCATACTTGTGGAAATAGCCTGAAAATGGATTTGTGAAGAGGCAAATACCACAATTAGGACGAATATTAGTTACAATCAGTTGATAGTGAATACCAAATGTTGATTTATTTGATAATTACTCAAGAACCATTTGGATTAGTAGACAGCATGGTGATGAACTAAACCTACCGAGTCTGAGGACTAATGCATGTCTAAACCTTGCTTGGATGATGCAGGGTTCGAGTTCGTGACCCAGTAGGTAGTAGTTAAGTGTCTGGATCAGTGAACAGAACATAAACTAAATTTCCTTTTACCACATTATGTTTTTCATAAACCTTGGTATGGTGTGTTGCATTTAAAAAGTTACCCTTGTGTCTTTATGATTTACACCGACTGCACTATAAATTATTCAGACTATTGGCTATGATGAAATAATTGACCTGTGATCCAACTACTACTCAAGGGTATTGGGTGATTGGAGGCTGTCGACTACTTAGGATTTTTGTTTATTGGCACTAATCGACAACGTGCATCTGTGACCCTGGAGGAAGTCATGCCTCCTACCTGTCGGAGATTCGAACTTGCGCCATTACCTCCAAGGTATTCCCACAACTGATTGTCCTAATGTGAGGTTTACTGGATAGATTGATTGGTCGTCGAGGTGTAGAGAGTCCCACAAATCTAGCCTTTGGTGTTGGCACTGACTGAATGCTTTTAGTCTATCATTTTGCAATCCGGTCATCAAGCTAGATGAATATATATGGTGGAGTGGTTTGAATTAAACCTAGACGGTTGTAGGCGATTCCATAAACAAAAACAGATGTCATAATGAAATTAAAGTACCTGAAAGATAAATCTTATTACTGTTGTGTGACCACGGAGTTAAAGCGAAAAATGTATACGGTTAGTAGTTTTAGAGTGGTGTGTAGAGTTTTGTGCATATGACGACATTGCCGTCAGTTACGGACCACCATAGTATGAGTTAGGATACACGATTTTTCCGGTCAACTTTTTTTAAAAGCTCCTCTTCAAAATTCAGAGACAGTACAGCCAGCCAGCTTGTTCATCTTCTGATGGAGACAACTCACTGCTGCTACGCCCCTAATCACTATTTGAATAAATTCTTCCTCAGATCTCCAGAACATTGTGAAAAACTTACATAATTTTAATAACCGGTATGCGACCCACATTTCTGACATGACAGTACCTTCATGTACATTCACTCCTGAAAACCTAACTACCATGTGAAGATGACAGCTACAGGTCGACAAAATAGTAAAGTGTGAGTAAAATGCATCATTTCACATGATAGTTATCACTTGCACACTTGCATAAACCAATTACACGATATCTTCATTCATGACAAAATTTCGTTCCGTGGTGCACAGTTTTCTGAGTATTTCAAATGACATTTATATATCTACAAATGTGGTCTTGCTAATCGCTTTTCAAGTGGTATGAATTGTGAATCTTTGTAGCTGTTGTTACCCCTCTAAGTAATGTTAACTCATACGAATATACCATTGTGATTTGCATACCTTTTTCAGTTATGAAGGCCATTGGAATACAAACGGTTTGGGTAAAGCAAGAACACCAGTTTGTGCGAGAATGAGATGACACCATCATTGCTCATTTCGTTGACTTTTTCTTTAAGTATCGAAATATTTATGAAAAATAGTAATGATACTTATATAATAAAAAAGTCAGTTAAAAGTTTGTGTATCGTGGACTAGACCAAATTAATAAAATTAAGATAAATAATAACATACTTTGACGATTTCACGCAGTGTATTCTGAGAATCATCTTTTGCCAGGATATAATGCTTTGCTGGTCTCATCTCCATAATTAACTGTAAAATACTGTACAATAAGGACAGAAGAAGAAGAAAAGAAAGAAAGCAAAGGCTGAAATATTGTAAGCACCCATGAGAACAGCAATGAAAGTCCTGTTTTTATAGAATAGAAGTGTATTTTGTTGTTTCGTTTCAAGAGAAGGTAGGACAAGTGTTAACTAATTCAAAATCGGTATAGAGATCTGTACCACTCAGCACAAGTTACAAGATCAGAATTTTCAAGACTGTCGCCAACAAAATGACAGACTGGGTACATCACCAAAAACATTTACATCAGACTACTGAATACTCTGATTAGTCAACGCCTGCTTTCTCTGCCTCGATACTGAAGATCAACTGCCTGGTCAAAGAAAAATAAGCTACGAGGAAGTCTGATAGTTCAGCAAACCAGCAAACAACCTGTTGCCTAGTCAATAAGTTGAAAGAAATGAATACGGATTTAACATAGTCTGAGAAGATGTTCAGGTGACATCACATGCCACATCGGCCATCGAGTAGGATCTGAATAGGGTGAATGATGAGGTGGGTGGGCATTCGAGCGTGACATAAAGGAGTGAGTATAAAGTGGAAATAAAAGCATGTTGGCAATTGGGTAGCCAGGTTAAAGTGATGTTAGAGGACCGAGTGCAATGGAGATGTTGCGCTGCCACATGAAAATTCCTCCTACGAAATAGGAGATGATGATTTAAACTCCTTATTAAGCATGCAGTATTGTGTTATATTAGGTGCGCATATTGGTACATGATGCACATGGTGTTTTCTATATTTTCTTGGATAAGCTGGTTCACTTGTGGTAAATGACTTATTTTGTTGTGTTGTGTCGTGCGTTTGTTTCTTTCCCGTGTATTCTAGTTAGGTGTTGTACATGACTGGTGTGAGACTCACGTGTATGGATGGGGTGGCCAAGTGCTTTGAGGGGCCGTTTCTAGCTGCCAATCCAATCGGGCACTGGTTCAAATTCCACCTCCGTCACCAACGTCTAGCCTACGTTGCAAAGGTTACTGCAACAACAATATCGGCAACACCTAAAAACTGGCATGCGACTATTCGATGCAAAAGTTACGACAACCAATCACATATCGTCGACAATCGACAAAGCTGCAATCTGACATTCAACGCCCCATGAACGCAGTCACACAGGATCTACTCATGGGAATATTGTAGCCGGTGTCGCCACAGCTACCAATCACATCGGCGAAAATGGCCAAGTTTATTGTTGATTGTACAGTTTAGTGCCTGGTTTATTGCGAAATTCATCTCGCTGGGGACTCCACTCCCTTTAAAAATACCTCCGTCTTTACGGAAAATCTGAGGTGCAGAAAGTTAAACCTGATTGTGTGTGTGATCATGCAATTACAAGCATAAATATATTACTTCTGTCTGTTAGTGAATAAAGAAAAATTATCGTGTCTTTACATATTTCTGTTCCACGCAAGATATGTGACTGACTGGCTTAAGCGCTCTGGTGAGCACCCTGTTCTAATCACATTCCAACTGCTTCAACCTCAGCGACTAGGTAGTATTACCTGCCCCTCTGCACACACAGACGCAGACCAAGTACGGCTGGTAACATCTGGTACAAGAGAAATAAATTTGTTTGGCAGTGGTTTTGCTCTGTTACTTTAAATCATGGAAAACACCAATCGGGATATTAACGAAAAAAGGCTAAGAAGAAGAGGGCACCTGAGTGGTTGCTCCACAGAAAATGATACTGTAAGCACTTCTGGTCCTGAAAAAGGCTGGGATGAGTGTGTTCGGTTATCTTGAGAATTAGATATATAATTAACCAGTGAATGGGTATATCCTTGTCACATATTACACATACATACAGACAAGTCCTGCCATTGCTACAATATGAAGGCTTATTAAGTCAGCACAACAGTACCTTCGAGTCTGATACTCCAAGGAAATAGCAGTCTGCAAAGGTAAGTGGGCATAGACTTAATGTGCATACAATCAAGAAAGAAACGGTATCAAATAAATCAGTGATTCCATACGTTTACACCATCATAGTGAGGACAGAAACCAAACATACAGTTAACCTCAATGTAAAATATTAATAATAATAATAATAATATCTGTAGCGGTAATTATTCCCTCAGAATTACCAACCTACAGCATTCATCACTCGATACTGAATGATGACATTCTCGGTTCGTTGTCAAGAGTCCAGACCTTCTAACAAGCCGTCATATTACGTTCGTGAGTTCGTCCGTGCACCATCCCTAACTAGCCAAGCAATCAATCATCAGCGCACTACATCTCTGATCCCGAAATACATCTCGTATTTCGGGCGATCAATTTGATGTTTTAATTTGTCTTTGGTCTAAGCACAACAAATAATATAGGAGTTGAGGGATAAGAACTTGCGTTTATACACATCGTACTTTGCGTAAACGTCAACATCCCTTCCCTACTAAACGTCCATATGTCATACATAAATGTCAACTGGAGACTGATTACACAACTTTAAGTAATCAAATAATAAATATTAGACATAATAACTTCTGTTATATATGTCCAAACCAAGTTCACTTTTAACAGTTTGAAAACATTTTTGGGCATCGGATACATGATATTCATTATAATAAAGGTTTTCTTATATTTCCAAATGAATGAAAAACAAAACGATATTCTCGCTTTTACTGATGTTTCGCTATTTAATGCTGCTAATAGCTTTATCAAAGTATTATTAAACCGGAATTTTACAAAATCTCAGCATATATATATATATATAACAAAGAGTTATGGGGTGAGAAAATAGACTACTTAGGTCAAGTTAAAAGGACATATCGAAAGTCAAAATAACAATGAAGATCACTAAACCAAATAACAAAGGTATTAGTACATCTGTTATGATATCAAAACAAAGTTTACCAACTTGGTCATCGTTCGTCAGTATGGGTCATTTTTCGCTGTCAAGTTGGTCAATTGGTAAAGATAACAAAAACAGGTTTAGATTGTTGGATTTGATCAGTGTGTAAAATTATAGAAGCAGTGTGTGTTTACATTGTTAACTTGCTTATTACATTCGTGTTGATTTTTTCACTTCATGGGGGAGGGGAGGGAGGTGTTGTAACCAGGTCAGATTCTGTTTTAGTCCATCATTCCTATTCAGGCAATTTTGATTCCACTTGATATGAAGTGCTTCCGATATTAGACGTTCTTTGTGATTCCTGAAGTTTTTCTGGATTATTTCAATATTGTCAAAACCAATTTTGTGGCCTGATTCTATAGCATGTAGACCTATGGCTGATGATTTTTCAAGTTTTTCTAGTTCAACGGGATTTCTCGGTTTTAATTTATTAACTGTTACGTTGAAATTTAGTCCTTTCTCCAGTACTTTTATCTCACTGGAGCTTAGTTCCCTTGATGAGAGGTTGATCACCCACTTTGTTTTGTCGATAGAGAATGAAGCATTGACATCAATTTCACAGAACACAGTAAATGAAATTGATGTTGGATTTCTCGGTGGTTGAATAGATGCTCTACGGTGTTCATTTCTTCTGATTTTGGTTTCTCCAGATGTTTGTCCGATGTATATCGCATCACATTCCGAGCATTTTATTTTATAGACACAATTAGGTAGAGAATCTTTAGGGATTTGGTCTAATGTCGAGCTGATTGAGTACTCTTCTGATATCGTCTGACGTCCCTCCTCTATATGGAATGACGACTGTTGAGGTCCATGTTTTCGGAATGCGTTTTCGACCATACTTAATGTTTGTGTTGATTTTGTTGATGAAGTTCCTTGGGTAGTTGTTTTGCTTGAGAGTTTCAGCAATGTTTCATATTTCTTCTTCTTTATTCTTTCTCATCCGTTATCAGAGAGTGTGGTCGTCTAAGAAGACTTGAAACAACTGAAATCTTTATGCTGATGGATTGTGATGATTCGAAGTCTAAATATTTGTTGGAGTGGGTTTTATTCCTGAATATGGATATACTAAAATGTCCGTTTTCCCTCCTCTTAACTAGGCAGTCTAGAAATGGTAGTTCACCGACGTCTGATTCTGCTTCCGAAGTGAACTGGATTCTGGGAGATACACAGTTTATTTTCTCCAGGAATGAATTGTGTAGATCTCGTTTTAGCACTATAAAAGTATCATCTACATATCTTAAGCATATTTTAGGAGTTAGTGTGCTTGAAAATATGTTAAACTGGATTTATGTCTCGGTGTTCGAACAGATGCTCAACGGAAAAATGACTCCATACTGAGGAACGATGATTAAGTTGTTATCTATCAGCTGAGTGGAGTTTGTAAATTCTGGTTTAATAATACTTTGATAACGCTGTTAGCATCCTCAGATGGCAAAACGTCAGTAAAAACAATGTCGTTTCGTTTTTCATTCATTGGGAAATACAAAGCCTTTATTATAATGAATAATAGCTTCTGACTGTTGTTCTACTGATTACATGTGGCACAAAGTTTATTGATTTTAGTGGAATTTGTTTACAAGTGTGTCGGTAGTACAGTGGCATAATACTTGTCAGTTACATTCGGGAGGTCAGAGGTCCATTCCTGGCCACTGGCACACTCCTAAACCTGCTAATAAGCCTGGAAAAACAGAAGGGTTGCTTGTGGAGCTAACACCCCTTAACCCCTTAAAATCAACACTACAGCTACTGGAACTTCAGAGCTCAAAGCAAAGGAATAGTTGTTTGCAAAACGATACCTGGTTAAATCACGTAAATGTATTGTCGGCACAATGTTGTTTCCGTCTCCAGGAAATTGAAGAAATGGTTCATTATTCCATGCAGCCTTCAAATATAAATAAAATTAGGAAAATGAGAAGTAAATAAATGTGTTTTATTTTCTGAGATTTTCATAAACTTTACTTCGTGAGGGTAAGAAGACGAGTTTTCAGGCTGACCGTAAAACCAACTAACGCATAAATAATAAGAATTCAGATGTGTTGTTTTAAAATGTAAAATAAAGACAGGTTTTTATCAAGTGGAACTACTACTGGAGCGGCATGTGTTACTGAAAAGTATTTGTATATATTGCATTGGTGACATCATCTGTACTGATTCCTATTTGTCAATGGGACTGTCTCCATCGTATCTCAAAATCATGCAGTTTCACGGTTATTTACTACCACTTTAGAATACACTGAACCTTCAGCGATTGCCCTCACAAATTCCAGTCTAGTTTGAAGCAAAGAACATACACAGTATTACCCAAAAGGTGCTTCCTTCCCACCAGTGTTCCAGCTGGCTAAATGCATTTCACCGACGCTTATTTGTAACCTCGCCACCTGATGCTGAGAATCTTCAATTTGTCGTTCGTTGGTGGATCTACTACAGCTACCCTTCCCTTCAATAGCCGTCTGGCTGCAACCATTAGCTCACCAATATCCATGAGTGGTTCCATATTAACCAATTACATTTACTGGGAAACAGTGTCTACATTACTCTCGATAAACTGCAAAGTCTATACTTGTGTCTAAAACTCTTTGTTGATCTTGAGAAGTGCACAGTAAAATAGGTCTGTCAGCCTCAGCGCCAGCTTAAGTATATCTCCACCTGGTCCCAGGTTCACTGGATGAAACTGCCACATTGACTACTGTCTGTCCCTTCAGTTATCGAATTGTGTTATCACTAGTTCTTCCAGTAGACCCCATGTTTCCTTCTCAACTTCACGCTTTACTTCTCTGCAGCCGCCTTCGGCATCGGATCCTGAATACCCACTTACGTAACAACAGTTTTAGAAACCCACAGGAAGCTCCGGACATCACCCTCTCCGAAAGTTGAAGGCTAGAGGATTTTCATCTGGTGAAAGACAAAATGTAGTGACGGAACACAGTTGTATTTAGTTACAGAATTGCTTATTTTGCTAGGTGATGTACAGTAATACGAAAATAAAAAAGCTAAAATCGTAAATTTAATTTGTAAAAAGTATTCGTATTCTGCTTCATTTTTATGTTCATTTCATACTTTCTATGTACCGCTTCACAATTAGCTTCATTTCTCATAATTCGCAAATTAATCCATCCCTTGGCTATTCAAGATACTTGTAGAAGATGTCACTCATAAACTACTTACAAACTCTTGTCATTAGCACTCACCACACTACTACTACTTTTTCATTTTCTACTGAAATCGAATAACTTCTCATATTTTATCGTTCCGTTCAGAACATATAAAGGCATTACTAACTAGGAATTAAAGCTCCAGTATTTCATAATTCAGATGCTTCGTGTAGCGGTTAGCGCTCTGGAGCGCTCTGAATCCAGCAGCTCAAGTTCATGGCTAAGCAAGGCAGGCCTAAAGCTGAGCACATGTCTGTGGTTTACTGGTGGTATGCTTGCCTACTTACTATTCATGCAGTCGAGAGAGTTCCATTCTCTGACAACTCACTTCTAGACCTTGCTAAGCCGGGTAAAGAGTTAAGGTCGTGCGTGAAGCTAGCAACCAACCTCCCAGTGAAAAACAAAAAAATACCACCATTACAGAAACTTCAGAACTAAAGCCGGAAACCCTATATTCCCCCTCTAAGAACGTAAAGGAATGCAAAATATCACTTCATAATAACCACAAAATACCAATTCAAACAGGCTGTTATCATGAAACTTTGTAGTGTCATATCACTTAAATCATAAACTAAAACTTGACTGCAGCAGAGTTTAAGTCAATTCTCATTTCCTTTGCATAAAATATGTCAGTTGTGTGAGTATACTCTGTCCCACTTAGATTTGAAACCAGCTTTCATAGTGTGGATTGTCGGTTATTATAGAAAACTTATAACCCAGTCTACTTACTGGCTAACTCTCAGATATCTGAAACTGTTGACAGCGAGTCCCAGTTTTATTAGGCGGGGGGGGAAGCTGAAAGTAGAATAGAATGAAATTGTGTGATACTAAATATTCTACTGACTGATTGATATGTGCAGCTGAAAATCAGTCGCCTGGAATCAATCTAAACACCAAATGGCTATTTCTTTTTTGACGGGTCGAGATCATCAGTAGTGTACACGGTACGACTCAGTTCATATCACCTGATGATGAATTCTAGCTAGTTAGTTACAGCCAACTGGTAATGTGCTAAGAAATAAAATTCATCATTTGGAAATTATACAATTTTTCGAGGTGACAAACTAGTACAGTTTCCTTTGGTAATGTAAACTATAAAGATCACAATATGAGGTATGTTCGATACCATAAATGACAATCAACAAGGTGATCTTGATCCCAAAATGAGCAAAATTTCAGTACGACGTTCACACAATCACTCCGATAGCTTTGCCACTAAACACCACTGTTTCACACCAGTGGTTCCCAGCTATTCATAGAAACTAGTAAGTAGGATGTAGCATCAACACCTATTTCGCTTGCTTTCCTGATTGCTGTGTGTGCAGTGTCAAGATTAGATCACATATACAGTGATCTGAATAATATCCAGTCTCCAGTGGAAACTGTGGTAATTATAGGCCTTGTGTAGCTGCATAATTTGTAAATAACCAATCTTAATGCGACACCTATAAGGCATTGTACGAAATTCCTAGTCGTGTGTTCGAGGATCATGTATACTGAAAATAGAAACTGAATAATTCACTCTCTTTAGTGGTATAATGCTGACTAGCCATCAGCACATATATGGTTCCAGTTCAATTTTCACCCACCTAGCTTACTAACCGGTAGTAAGGTCAAGGAAACGAGGGAAGGCTGGGCGTGAGACTGGCAGCCACAACCTACAAACAACAATACCGCCTCTGAAAATTGAATCTTAAAGATTTATGTTCCCCTGAGGATGCAAAGGGATGAAAGAAAAACAAGATTATGCAAATGGGAATCATAGAAATCGTCAGTAACACTTCTATCTGAACTATATTACCTTGAAAAAATGATGGAACACATTCTGAGTCTCTCCGTATGTTACACCACATGCCACCACATAAGTGAGTAGTTTCAATTTATTCTGAAATAACAGTAACAACATTATTATTTGAATAACTATACATTTTACTTACTGTTTTCCCTTGTTGTATTACTGACTTCTCAGCAAGTATGTGCTCTTTATAATTAGAATGTGCCTTTCTTCTCAGGTAATCATCATCAGTGAACGGCATCTCTGGATCATTCTAGAATTTCGCCCACATGAGATACTTATGATGTAATAGAAGACCTACTGGATCTGGTAGTGAACTTTTTGCCCATGTTAACACCGATGAGATGAGGATAAATTGTTTTTGTGCGGCAAACTTATCAAGATTATCGTGTAGTTTTTCCAATATCCATAAGGCATCATCAATTGCCTTATAATCATCTTTAATGTTGTAGATTATGTAGTCACACTGCATAACTTTTTCGATGAAATTCTCACGTTTTTCATCCTGTCAATAATCATCAAATGGAATGATTAAAACAAGAGTTAGTAAATAGAAAACATGATTAAAGCAGATACAGGTTTTCTTCTGGGTGGAGTAGTGACTTCATGTCAGGCCTTACAATTGCATGATAAGATTATTGAGCATGGATATGCATTTCATATCAGTGTGGCTTGATATTACGAACTCTTTGAAGGCACGTGATCGTTGACATAGCACAATTTGATTAATGGTGATTAGCAGAGCAATCTAGGATGTTGCTTTCATCTTATCTGGGATTCATCATCCATATCCGGTAGTCCGACTGAGGCTAGAACCCAGAACTCATAGTTTCAGATGCTGTTAGGTGACTGAAACCACCTCTAATAGTAGAAACAATGCGATTTCGCAGAAATTTTATTTTTCCAAGCCTTTTTCTGTTGATTGTGGCTAACAGTGGAACTCAGAACACGCGTTTTCTCCGTTATTTTCCCACTAACCTACTCGATAATACTTCATCATGATGGGTGCTGCATTTGAATCTCAGTAGAAGCATCATCAGTCATTAAGAATGTAGTTACGTCCATCTGACAAGGATGGAATTAGCATCCGAGACTCTACCACTAGTCGCCATAAATTAAACAAATTAGTAGCTGTTTAAATTGACACAAAATAGTGGATCACATATGAAGTAATTAGTTTCGTCTGATTTCTCTTGAAAGGTATGTGGTGTCATTTTCGCTTTAATTATTTTTAAAAAATTAGTCTATCCAATAAAATTATATGTGAAAAGACGCCGTTTATCTGAAGGATGTGATGTACTTGAGCAAATACACTTCGAACAGTCTAACCATAAATATCTACTTGTCAAGTCAATTTATGAAAAAAAATCACAATTTAAACAAAATGATAAGGGCTTTAAGAATAAGAAGGACAATAATCAAGGGTAATAAAAATTGTCTTTGTGTATACAGGTGGTGAGAGATGTTTAAATTTATAGACAACTATGGCCTCAGCTTATTTCACTATACACCCTCTAACGGCTTTTGTAGATAATCTTGAAAACTGTTTTGACAGTGAGCTTGTTGTTTGCACGCATCGTGTGTTTTGCTATGGACGAGGTTGATAGTCTGCCATAGTTCAATTATTCTTCAAGACACCTGGGTATATATGTTCTCTAACCCTCATGTGTGGCGTGCAATTACTCCTCCCTTTATGTGTTTAGCCACACACATACAGATTTAAACGGGCATACAGAATACAGTGTGACATAATAATGTAATCACTTGTGGGGCTTATTGTTGAGCATGCTTTTGACTTTTTTGCTGACACTGTAGGCCAAACTGTATAGTAACTTTTACAGGTGATATAACTTAGTCTGTCTTAAAATCCTACAACTTATTTCCCCATAATAAGGTTAATTGATGTAAACGCACTTCTTTCGGACGGAATAAACATAGACTTTTAAACTAATTGACCTTAACGCCCATTAAGAAACTCCGAAGGATGTTCATCTTCAACAAGAGTATCCGTCAGTATTTCACATTCACTATCTATGCAGTGAGTTGTACAAATACTCTGAATCTTCTTAAATAAGAATTTTACCAGGCATCTCTTGTATTTCAATGGACGGAAAGTGTGAAAATTCATATACCACCATGTTCAGCTACGCTTTATGTAAGTGGACTGCGGTACTAAGCCCTCCTCCCCTTGAGTCAAAAGTGCATCTAGGAATGCAAGTTGATTGCAACTTCCTTCCTCACATGTAAGATCTTGGTGATTTTGTACAGAGTTAAGTCTATCCAGTGGACGTGTATCATCTTTATCCATATTGCATGTCACAGTAATATCATCGGAGTATGTCCAATGTAAAAGCGCTTTAGCGATCAAATAGCCAGGCAGATTTCCAATGTAAGACCTACATATCAGCCAACAATAGCGACTTCCCGTAGAAAAGCCACTCGCTTATCGACCGTTCTAAGCTTCAAATGTGAAGTGGACGTTGTAAATACATAATAATAATAATAAATGAAATACGTAAGAGGAATTAGGAATAAAAGACAACTATAAGATATGTAGTGCCTTATTAAACAAAGAGTTAACATCGAACGAGAGCATTTTTGTCTTTTATATTCATGTCAGCAAGTTCAAAAATATCTTCCAAAGACAAATTATATAATTCGCTGCTTATTCGGTTTTGTGTATAGACTAACTGTTTGCCATTTTATTTGTGAGAAAATGACACAGCGACGGAATGGAGTATGGTAAATCGTCAGCTTTATGAATCTTGGGTAATCCATAGAGGTGTGGAAAGTCAGATCTTATGGGTTCAGAGGTTCAAACTCTTCTTTGTGGGTAAAATCCATGCTGCGAAATTCCACTAAATGAGATGTTACTTTTCCTTCTAATTTTCTAACATCATCAAATGGGACTTCAGCTATGAATTTACTTTTTGTCACAAGAACAGAAATGTTGTCGTCCCATAATCGCAGTTATCCACTACAACTTTACCTTATCGTTTGTAAGATGATAGGATGATCATATTGTACCTACAATATAGTTCTTTAGGGCTCTGAAGTGCATCGAAGTCAAAAACTTTTTGTCTCCTGCCTGAATTACAGAGTTTATGTGCTACATCAACAAACTTAGCTTTCACTCAGCTTTGGTCCTCTGTTGAGGCAGGGAATAAAATCTCAGCTGATCATAGTAATTTTCAAATTGGTAATCGATAGCTAAACCAAGAATTTCGGTTGGTGGTATAGTAACTAATATTCCCAGAGTATGATATAAATTAGCTCACACTGTCAATAAAGGTTGGATATGTTGTTCTAATAGTTATTTTGTCATACATTCGGTGTGGAAAATTTTGAAGTGAAGGATGAATGTCGTAGGCACTTCACTTAATACTCCTTTTCTTTTTGGAAGCATATCTTAAATTATAAAATATTTCACAACTTAAAATAGAGTCATGACTTATGGTTGTGTTTGGTTGCTTCGAGTTTCGTCAAACTTGTCGCTTTCTCTACGAAAGAGTGACAAACGATTATACTTAACATAGTGGAGATGTTAATAGATATCAGAAAGTTGTAACATAATAACTGACACTCAACTTAGTAGTGCACATAAGCGCTGGGTGAGATTAATATGCCCTATTTGAGAATCCGGGGGATTCGGGACAGTCTCAGGGTATTCAAGACATATAATGCACATTCCCTAAATTTTCGCTCAAATATTTACGTCGATTTGTCTTCGTGACCCTTAAATTACACACAAACTGTTTACTTGGGGGTTTCTGCAGGAAAGAGATAAAGCCAGTGACCATTCTCTCTTTCTACAGACGGTCTATCATGCCTGTTTTAGCAGTCATATAAGTCCATTCCAACTACTATAGTCATTCATTCTAAAATGAAATGAATTCAAAAAAGCCTTACTGGTGCGTATAATATGAAATAAAATTTTTATTATACGACTGAAAAAGTCTAAGAGTTTGCAAATTTTATTGAATTAATCACTAGCGGTTTACCGGCATACATTTTTACTTCTATATTATTTCTTCAATTCACAAATAAGTAAGAATAAAAAGAGCCTTTTATTCTGTTTTGTGGACTTACCACCGTTATAATATTGACGAAATCTGGAGTGTGTTTTATCCCTTCATCTAAAGTGCCGTATACTGTATATCCCTGAATAACACCTGATGGTTTCGATTCCTCTTCGTTTTCCTCCTCCATAGCCTCTTCATCTTCATTTTTTGAGGATTTTCCTACTGAAGATTGTGTCAAGAACTAAGAATAAAGGATTTATAAATTTCAATACCTGTGCGATGTTATATTCATCGTATCTGTTAACATTAGCAATTAAAACCTTTGGACTTTTTGATGTATCCATTTTCGTTTTGAAAGTTCATGTTACCCGTCGTCATAACGATAAATTTCATGGGTTCCAATATCCGATATCGTTTTGACCAGCTAGTATAAACCAATTTGATTTCTTTGCGCTCGCCTCTTGATTGTGAGGTAGAGGTTCCTGATCTTTGGTAAACGTCTGTGTAGCTCGTCCCGCCACTCGACTGTCGTAGCTTTGGTTGACTCCAACAGGAGTAGTGCTGGGGTTAATTATATGGGGTTTGTAGTATGAAGTGTGTTAAAACTGTTACTACTGTGAATGGAGTTGATCCTTTCACCACTTAGTCTTCCGGTATCGTCGTCAATGGAAAAGAGATAATAATAATAACAATAGATATAATTAGTAAAGGTATTCAGACTAACAGACAGAGAAAGAATAAGAAAACGTAACAACAGTCAGTCAACCGGTATACATATATATATATACCAGTAATAATGATAATAATAATAGGTGTAGTTAAAGCTGTCAGGAGAGTAAGACTGAAGGGAATGTGAAGAAGTAAAACGACCAGTTTAATTGTCTACCTTTGAATGGTATATGCGATTTTAAGGGGATAGGCCATTTGGATGAAGTCCTTGTGTCGCTGCATGGTTGTCCAGCCTTCGCTTAAAGGCGTCCACAGATGGTGCCATAGCTACATCTGCCGGTAAGGAATTCCAGGGACGGCAAACCCGCAGGGAAAAGAAGTGGGAACGCACTCGGGTCCTTGCCCTCTGATGAGCTATCCTTCTAGGATTTCCACGAGGAAGCCTATACCTACTCAATGGCAGAACATCTTTGTTTGGGTGATTCTGATCATTTGTTATTTTGTAGGCAGTAATCAAATCCCCCCTCAGCCGACGGTATCTAAGTGTGAATAGGCCTAATTTCTTCAGCCTTTCGTCATATGGTTTATTTCGGAGACCAACCACTCCTTTTGTTGCCCGTCGTTGGACTCTTTCCAAGAGGTTGGCGTCTCTTTTAAGCAGTGGGGGTGCAATGATATTATGCACTTCAAGATGCGGTCTGACGTATGTTTTATACAACCTTAGAAAGAGCTCAGGAGTGAGTGCACCTAATTGTCTATGTGTAAAGTGTATGACCGCATATTCCCTCGCTACATCCCCCGTGTAATTTACGCTTGTGTCCATTTTCTCCGTTACAACTAGACCTAAGTCTCGCTTTGACGTTGTACAGGACAGGCTTTCATTGCACACGGTTTAACTTGCATTCTGCGTCCTACAAGTGCGTACCTTCACTACTTTGCACTCTTTCAGGTTGGAAGTCATGCCACTGACCACCGCCCAGTCTTCCAGAAGGTTTAGGCCTGCCTGCAGTCTATCTGAGTCCTCCGGACACTTTATCGCTCTCCATATCTTTACGTCATCAGCGTATAGAAGAGTCAGGCAGCTTAAACGGTACGGTAGATCATTGATAAAAGTCAAGAACATCAGTGGTCCCAGGATAGAACCCTGCGACACTCCTGATGACGAGCTGTGCCAAGATGATCGGACTCGATTGACCTTAGTGCAAAATTGCCTTTCAGTTAGGTAGTCCTTCAACCATGACAGAAGTGGTTTACCTAGACCTACCTGACTTATTTTGTGTAGGAGAAGGTCATGGTGAACAGTGTCAAATGCCTTCTCAAAGTCTAGAAAGATCACATGGACAGGAACATTCATATCCCAGCATGATGTCCAATCGTCCCAAGCTGATAATAAGTTAGTGACGCAGGATCTTCCTTTCCTGAAACCGTGTTGGGCTTCATGGAGTATTTTAGACCTATCCAGATATTCCCTGATGTGATCATCAATAATACTTTCCAGTACTTTCGATACCACTGGGAGTAGAGCTACTGGTCTATAACTGGTGGGATTTTGCCTATCCCCACCCTTGAAGATCGGAGAAAGGATGCTTCTTTTCCATTCCTTTGGCAGTTTCCCCGACTCAATGGAGTGTTGGAACAAGTCGCATAAAGGCCTACAGAGAGCTTCGGCGCACTGTTTCAGAACAGATGGTCTGATGTCACCACAACCTGGGGACTTCCCAGGTATGAGTCGCTGCAGCTTTCTCAGTACTATTGCAGGGTTTATTTGGGGGGTGGCTATTCGGTCTTCCTCCTGTGAAATAGTCATGCCACCATTTTGGTTCGTAACGGTAATACCCACATTGCTGTTTAGCTGTTTAGCGAAGGCTAAACTGAATGCTTCAGCCATCTCCAGACTAGTGAGATATTGACCGTTTTGGCCTACTAAGGCGCAAGCCCCTTGCTTGGTTGGTTTCCTTTCCGACATGAATCGGTACAAATTCTTCAGGTTTGCCAGGAGTTTTTTAGCAAGGTTAGCCTGGAATGACCTTCTGTCCCTCCTGACTTTTGCATTGCACCGGTTCCTCAGTTCCAGGTATGCATCATGGTCGATCTGGCTTTTAGATACGCGCCACGTAAACCAAGCCTTCCTCTTTGCTTGCAGAATACGCTGCGTGCCTCTCTTTAACCATGATGATTTTCTTTTGGGCTGTGCTGTGACTAAAGGGACGGTATCCGAGATTACTGTATGAATAATCTTTTTTACCGCTTCCCAGTGTTCATCCACAGACAGCTCATCCCATGCTAAGGGCCAGTCTGCATCGGACAAGAGCCTCCGCATTTCAGCATAGTCAGCCTTGCTATAACACAGACATGGTTGCGTAGCGTCCCACTGCAAGTGCTCACGGAGAACGAGGTCGAAACCTATGACTGCATGGTCACTACTTCCTAGAGGAGTCATGACCTGGACCTTTTCGACGAGTAGTTGGTCACTAGTTAGAATGTAGTCTAGTTTCGATGACTTTCCACTAGGGCCCCACCTAGTGTCGTCTCCAACGTTCTCAGTCAGTCCCGTGTTCCGAATAGCTTGCAGTAGATTTCGGCCGAATTTTCCCTTAGCATACCCCGAGCCAAGGTTCAGTGATGGGGCATTGAAATCTCCAGCAATGGTGATTTGGTCATAGCCCAAGTCTCGTATCCCTGAGCAGTAGCTGATTGTGCTCCGCCCCACAGGTGGGAGATCGGTAGATGCCACCAAGTAAATGCTTGGTGTGGCCTACGGTGAAATGACACCATATGGAGTCTGGGAGTTCAATAAGTGGTGGGTACGTTGCGCGAACACATTTAAGTTGCCTATCAAAGTATATGGCAACTCCCCCTCCTTCCTTATTATCCCTGTCTCTCCTGACCAAAACCATATCACCTATACTGATTTCATTATCGGCGATAGTGGGGGTTAGCCATGTTTCGGTGAGAATGATCATTTTCAGTTGTAGGTGTGCTTGGAGATTTCGGAGTTCACCTATTTTTACTCTCAGCCCCCTCACATTGCTATACAGACAGCCGACAGTGAGCCTCACAACCTCAGCGTGCTGTGGGGTAGTTGACGTGAAGCTGTTTGCTGGTAGGGAACTTAGTGTTGGGACTAGTTGGCCAGTTCCTATGGAACCGGCCCGTTGTGGCTTTTTCCCTTGGATTTAGGCAGGACACTTGGGTGGCACAGACTCTTATTCTCAGAACTGCATCGCTCGAGTGTCACTGAAGCTTGGGAACGTATTAAAGCCTCCGTTTGCTGCCTCCTTATGGTTCGAGGTCTGCTTTCGCAGCATCGGATGTGTCCTCCCAATTTCCCCTTGATCTCATACCACCGTTGAAGTGCTATGGCCAACTGCTCTGATGAGTTGAATGTGACACTTAGCAGCTTTGGGGAGCTAACCAGTGTGAGATGAGCGGGGTGTTATGTATGTGAATATTAGGACCTTGTAGACTTCGAGCGAATCTAACTAATGCGCTGGCTAATCTGTCCTAATCGCACGTCAACAACAACAACAATACCGCCGGGCACGCAAGACAAAGAAAAGAGACTGGACGTTGATACGAGAGCTTTTACTGTCTCTAACAACAGTCGAAATGTTAAACAACAACTCCGTATTTATACAGTTAGGAAAATCAATGTCACATTTTAAAAATATTAACAAACCATGGGAATTCAGTAATTAAAATCAATAATCACGCAGATGCGGGAAATCAATGATTATGCTAGTGTGTGAAATAAATAATGAATATTAATGATTCACCTGTGTATATATTATGGGGCGAGGGAGTCGGTATACGGAGATGGCTCCAGAAGCGTCAAGGGCCATCTGAGACGACAGCCATCTCCCCTGTTGTACGTCGTGCATGTGTTTTTCACAGGCAGTGCCCGTTTCCATCTCCGGAACACCGTGCACTACCAGTGAGGTAGAAGGCAAAAGTTCCGGTGACTCCCTCGCCATTTGTCTGACAGCCCATGGTCTGTCTTGTCTCACCCTTATGTTAGAGCTTCTGTCGATGGCTAGTACCTGAGCCATCAATAGTACCTTTTCGGCCTCTTCGGCAGAGTCCAGTGTAACCCGTAATGGGGGTGGCTTACCTTGAGGTGTGTGGACACCCCTGTACAGCCTGCACAATTTCACTGAATTAATATTCAGACATAGTTTATTGCACAGGTTGGACCACTGTTCCTGATCAAACAGGGCCCGCTGTTCAAGCAAGCTGTCCTTGCTCACAGGTACGTTAAAGAGGATGAGCGAATTAGACCGATTAACCTCAGACTTAGGTTTGGCCTTTGGCTTCTCGTATTCCTTTGCAGCATCAGCAACTTTAGGCTTCATCGGGTTCTGACCAGCCTTTATTGTGTTGCCAAGCTTGCTTGTGGATGTAAGTGGTGCTTCTCGAACTCTATCTTTCCTTGATTTTTTAGGTCCAACCTTGTGAATCTTCACCTTGTGAAAATTGGCATTTTCGGTCAGTAGGACTGGAGTGTCCTTCTTACTGTCTGTGCCAAGTTTTGGCAATGTGATGTTAGCAGGTGGGGAGCTACATAAGACCGTGTTGGGACACAAGGGCGGCGTGTTGTTTCTGCTAACCGCAGACACGCTCTGTGTGACTACGCCAGGGCGACAGAGTGGACAGATGTACCAAAACCACGGGCACGGGTTATTTCTCATAAACTCGTAGTATGATTTCGGTACCTCTTTGTCGCAACGGCAGTGCACCCACCGTTTGCAAAAATTGCA